CCCCCGCCCCCGCCTTCCCGCCAGCTGCCGTGCTGTTGGCCGCCAGCAGCCGCCGCCTCGCCGCCAGCCCGTCGGGCACGCCGCCAGCCGCGGGCTGCGCCGCCGGCCTATCCAGGCTCGCCCACACGCGCATGAATGACGACGGCCCAGACGCCACCACGTGGCCGAACGCGTCGATGATCAGCGCGCGCACGCGCATGGGCTCGCCGGGCGCCGCCTCCATCGATGGGTACTGCAGCCGCACGCCCGCGGGCACGCCCGCGACCACCGGGCCGTACGAGCCCGCGCCCTGGGCGCGGTTGCCGTCGTATGCGCCGCACGCGCCGATCTCGAGCATGTTGCCGCCGCTGGCGCCAGTGCTGGCGGCGGTGGGGACGGCGCCGGCGAGCAGCACGCGGCGCCGGCGCGCGCGGCGCCGCGAGCTGGGCTCGCCTGGCTCATCGAACGCCTCCTGGACGGGTTGGGGTGCAGCCCAGGTGGAGTGCACAGGGTGCTGCAGCGCCTCGCCATAATCAGGCTGCTGCTCGTACCCCTGTGGCTGCTCATACCCCTGCTGCTGCTGCTGCTGCCGCTGCTGCTGCAGCTCGTAGCCCTGCTGCTGCCGCGGCGGCGGCGGCGGCGGCTGCAGCAGGTCAGCCACTGTCGCCCCCTCTCCTGCCAGCTCCTCGTCCCCAAACGGCGAGTGCGGCTGCTCCGCGCCCAGGCGCCAGTCGTCCGCTGCTTGGGAGCGCACGGCCTCCCCCACGCCGCCAAAGCTGCCGCGGCTGCGCCGGCAGCTGCTGCCGGCCGCGCAGCCCGCCTCCGCGGCCGCGGCGCCCTCAAAGGCGGGCGCCGATATGCCCATCGACGGCGCCGAGGGGCCGCCAAACGTTCGCGGCGCCTGTGCGCGCGCCCAGCTGGTCGGAGCCGCCTGCTGCTGCTGGCCCTGGCCCGTCGCCATTGCGCGGTACAGCGCCGGCTCCACCCCGCCCCTGGCTCGCATCTGGTCGATCGCCCATTTCGTGACGCCCGCACGCTCCAGCTCGGCAGACACCTCATCGTCCAGCGGCACCAGCGGCAGCAGCCGCTGCGGCTGCGGCGGCGGCGGCGGCGGGGCCCTCGGGCGCACTGCCGCCGTTGCGGCAGCTGCGGCCGCGGAGGCGGCGGCGCGCGACCGCCGCCACAGCGCCTGCGCGGCGTCGCTTGACGCAAATTTGGGAATTGAGAACTTCAGGGACCTGCTCGGACCGGCTGCGGCCCCACCCGGCGCTACCGCCGCGGTCCCAGTGGCCATGTCATCCTCGTACTCTCCCGCCTCAGCCTCGTCAAAGGATGACGCCGCACCGCTGGCCGCCTTCACGGTGCTGGGGCGGGCGCCGGCTTCGCTGACGCCGCTCGCGTCGCCGCCGCCGCTGCTGCTGGCCTTGAAGCTGCTGGGCTCCACAGCCGCGCTTTCAAACACGGCATCGTTCGGCTCGACCGCCGCGGTCTCAAAGGTGGCGCCTTGGGGCATGGCGGCGGACTCAAAGGTGACAGTGGAGGCAGTGAAATCGCCGTCGCTGTAACTGCCAGGCACAAAGGTTGTGGTTGCAGTCGGCATCTCCACGGTGCTGGCGCCATGCGAGCCGGAGGCAGGCAGCGCCTCGCGCTCCCGGGGTGCCGCCGGCGCAGGGGATTGCGCCGGCGGCGCCGACACCGGCGGTGAGCGTGCCGGCGGCGGCGGGCTGGGGGAGGGCGGCTGCGCGCCCTTCGCCGTGCCGATGGCCTTGGCCGGCGCAAGCCCCACCTCTAGCAATTTGTTGCCCTGCGCCGACGGCGCCGCGGGCGCAGGCGCAGCCGCCTTAACCTCCACCTGCGCAGACTCCGGCAGCGCCGCGGCTAGGCCCTGTGAGCTCTTGCCGCCCGACTCCCTAGCCGCCGCCGCCCCCCCGCCACCCACGGACGTCGTCGTTGCGCCGCCAGAGCTGGCAGTGTCTATCAGGACCGACCCGCCCGAGCCGCCGTCGGCCCCCTCAGGGTCAAATGAGGCGGTCGTCAC